CACACACACACACACACACACACACACACACACACACACACACACACACACACACACACACACACACACACACACACACACTCACTTCGTTCATAAACAATAGGCTCTTTCGTCCACTTGGTGTCGCTGCTTTTTCTCTGTTCATTTTTTTTTTTTTTTCAATGAACCTTCTTGCTCACCGTCGTCAGTTTGCGAGCTGTGTTTTATAACATGTCAAACATGGGGGCACGGGTTGCGCGAATGTTCCGAAATGTCAACCTGGAGAACCGTGTTCACCGAGAAATCTCCAAGGAGAAGCCGCGAGCAGCACCCCGCCACGAGGCCGACCTGTCGCGCTCCTCCGGCGGCTCTGAAGGTGAGTGACGCTCCGCTGACAGGTCGCTTCTCTTGCGGGACATGCCGGGAAACCAGCCTAAAAGCAGGGCGGCAGTCATTAAGCTCTGGAGGAAGGTTCTGTAATCCTCTGTTGACGGCCTGTTGTGTTCTGTTTCAGCCGCGGAGACAGCGGAGTTGGTGAGCCAGAAGAACGCCCCGCTGCTGGGCCTCCTGCGCTCCGTGTATGTGGAGTCCAAGGACCCGGCAGCAGCAGAGGTCAGCCCGGGACACTCTCTACCCTTCTGTGTGTCTGGGGAGGGAGGCTGCTTCAGTTGAATGCCCTCCATATATACCATTATAAGAATGTTTGATTATTAGAAGCTGAGGTGGGGAAGTACTCAGATGTTGTTATTCAGTAAAAGTGGAAGTACCAGAGTGTAGTAATACAATTTATAACAGAGTATTCCTTACAGGTAAAAGTCCTGCATTCAAATGTTACTCAAGTAAAGTATTAGTATCAACATATATTTAAAGTTCCAAAATTGAAAGTAGTCATTGTGCAGATTGGTCCATTTGAGAATAATATATGATATGTTTTATAATGATTGATCATTAAAGTGTTCTCAAAGCTGGTAAAGGTGCAGCTAGTTTGAATGACTTTGTATACTACAGGGTAGCTTGTGAATTTACTCCAGGTGGAACTAAAGTCTGATTTAACACTGATTATATTTCACAGTAAAAGTACAAAATTTACTCCTGAATTGTAGTGGAGTAGAAGTACAAAGTATCATAAAATAGAAATACTCAAGTACAGTAAAAGTATCTCAAAATGGTACCAAAGTACAGTTGTAGAGTACATGTACTTAGTTACTTCCCACCTCTGATTAGAAGATGCTACGGGCATTCTGCTTTATATGAGATTAGGTCTTATATTGACATCTTATGTGTTGACTTTCTTTACATACATTTCAAATGCTTATGTTAAGCATCTTATCCTCATCTTATGTTATTTTTTCAATGTGTTTTTTTAATTTGGACTTGCACCTCCATCTGTTAACATATGGGCTCAGTGCAGATTGTTATATGTGCTCGAATGTTCCTACTTTGTTAAAAAATGAATCTCCCCTCCCCCCACATACTGTATTTCAATCAGGAGAGACTTCATTTTGTTTAAAGAACATTTATTGACACATGTCATATGATAAATGTAAAGTCTTTGGCGATTAGACCCCGATCCTGAAATGGTATATCTAAAGGGGGAAATGCAGCCGTGAGCATATAAGGAACCCCCCCCTGGGGTCTAGACACTGTGATGATGCTGAAGATCTGTATTTGATGAGGAGATGGGATGAAGAGGAGGTGTGATGAGGTCTTTGGATTAGCTCTCCTGGCACTGGATGTGATGAAAGGAGGTGGATGGGGAGGAGGTGTGATGAGGTCTTTGGATTAGCTCTCCTGGATGTGATGAAAGGAGGTGGACGGGGAGGAGTTGTGATGAGGTCTTTGGATTAGCTCTCCTGGCACTGGATGTGATGAAAGGAGGTCGATGGGGAGGAGGTAGGGCTGCTCAATTAATCGTATTTTAATCGCTATTACGATTATGGCTTGCAACGATTACGAAAACAAGGACATTTTTTATTTATTAATTAGTTGTTGTATTGGTTTTTCAGTTTAGTTATACTTAAAGTTCAGGGTAATCAACTGTTAAAAACATACTGTTCAAAAAAAATTCTACAATAAATTGATGTTTTCAAAGTAAATGGATAATCGTTTTAATAATCGTGATATCAATCAGTGAATGACATTAAGGATTTTTGGGAGATGGCCCTGTGGGCCATCTAAGCTAATTTACAGATGGCCCTGAACCCAATAGAGATTGCCCTGAAAAATTCGCGCGGACGAAATGACGCACGAAGGGTTTGGGGGGCCTCCTCCTAGACAATTTAGATTTTTGCAGGTCTTAGATGCTGTCTGGTGCATTCTCTAGACTGAATTATAAGAGGAACCACCACAATATTATATTGTACAATTTCAATTGTATTCTTCATTTCACTTGTTTGTTTGTTCTTGTTTGTGTTTGCTCGCTTGCATGCCCTGCATAGCTATAAGAAATACTTAAGTTGTTGGTCAAGACACTTTCCATCTGATGAAGGCAAATGCCTTCCC